CCCCCCCCCCAAATTTCTATAATTTAATCCGCGGTTTCTCCAGCTATAAAACATTGAAGCATCTTTTTTGAGGGTTAATAATCATGCATAACTCAAAACGGTCAGCATTTCTTAGCAATGGGTAAGTAATTGGATGATTTGCTGAAGTTTTTAGAAGCACCGTTAAGGGTTTTTCTCAAGCACTATGTAGCGCTAGTTCGATTTTTATATCAGAAATTCCACTTGCAAGAGGCCGTAAACTTTGACGCAAATTGCTAAATGTATCCCGTCTCAATTCGGAAACCTGAAAATGAGTAATATCCATTCTGATCAAATAAGATTGAATTTTATTGCAATATTGGAGGAGCTAGTTTGCTAACTGGCTAAGTCGTTAAAGATGTTCGCATTGAGGTTTCATGAGATTTTTTCGACAATTCCACCATGTTTATGAATAATTAAATGTGGTCGTTAATTGTTGTGAATATTTTGGTATCGAATATTTCAGATTGTCAACGATGAAAGCAAAGACGTTCTTATTGAATTCTATGCTCCATGGTGTGGTCATTGCAAGGTGAGCTTAGATTGCCGCTGTGACAGTGTGGGAGAAATAATAATTTTTCCATAGGCTTTCGAACCAAAATACAAGGAACTTGCTGCCAAGCTGAAGAAAACCGAGCCAAACCTCGTCATTGCTAAAATGGACGCTATTGCTAATGATGCTCCTTCGCCATACTCTGTGGAAGGCTTCCCAACAATCTACTTTGCTCCGAGTTCAAAGAAGGTAGGGACATGATTTGAAGGCGTGATTTTGGGGATGGTGGCCATTTTGCACCGCTATCGTAACCTTACGCGACTTGAAAGGGTTGTTTTTGCCTGGGGGTTTTTTTGTATGCTTGCGAAGAAGAATTCCATTTGCAACATCGCATTGCGACTCAGGTGGGAACCTGACTCCACGTCGCTTGATTACGGTAGCGTACTGTACCGGGCATAAAATGGCCGTTTCTGCATGGTAGATCAGTGGGTGATTT